ATATAGATTTTTTTTTTTTTTTTTTTCCAATTCCATCATGTCCCCCCAGCACAAATCTGTAGCGCCCGTATCCTCACCAGACTAACCACCAGATTTTGCCACTGTCTTTGAAGCTGCTGAAACTGGCAAATGTCACTGCAAGTTCTGCTTTTCCACAGTAGCAGTAGTCACATGAACCAGTGTCAGCCAGTGCCCCCTGATGATGGTGAGTCTGCAGGAGGCAGGCAGGGCCAGGACATGGCATGCTTAGCTTTGCCGCCAAACATTTCCCCCGAGAACAATGTGCGGTAGCCATTTAACTAACACACAGCCTCGACAGCTGAGTCAGCGAAGTGTTTGATGAGAAATTCAGTTTAGGACAGCTGAGGAGCTGTTCTGACAAGTGATCGGTCTAAGGACAGACTGCTGGTATTGGAGCTTCTACGACTGGTCACACCTGAAGGTGCTTCTCACACTGAGATACCAACAAGATTTGAAAGAAGTGTTGACCGTAGACCATCTGCTCTGGGTCCACAATATGAGATGCAGAAAATACAGTCTAAAACAGGAATTATTTAGTCTTCTTCCCAAAAAGGCATCTGAAAAGTTTTTATTTATAACATTTAATGTTGAAATATTTATAACAAATTGCTGTATTTAAGTCATGTTAGGGTAGCTAAAAATCATTTTATTTTGGAATAAGTTTGAAATTCAACAAGTTTGAACTTCAACACCTTTAAACTCACCAAAATCCAGTTTTTGTTTAAACTATATGTAAAAAAAATAATAAGGGTAAGTTTGAAAAGATTAAAGTCAAATTGAGTTGGGTAAAAAGTGAATTAAAATGAATAAATCCAGTCTAGTAGTTCTGAACTAAGGGTATTTTTAGCTCATTTAAATTTTTTAAGAAACGCATCACAGCCTGTGTTAATTAGCTTTTAGTTATTTAAAGTCTACGGGTTTCTATCAGACTGAATGTTGTTTACGTTTCTGTTCCCATGGAGAATCTCAGTAAAAAAAAACTTCACAGATAATAGTTCTTTTGTGGTCGTTAGTGATAAAAGTGTTCATGTCAGACTGAACATAATCAGGGTTTCTGACCCAGAAAACATCTTCACCCGCAGAGGTTTTTCAGCTCAAACATTTCTGGAACATCCTCCTGCCGCTTTCAAACAACAAGCGTACAACAAGTGCAACAAAATGTGCAGTTTGAGTGGGATTAGTGTGTTTTCACTGTTGGTATGTCACATGGTGAAGAAAAGTTCACCAAACAATTTTGTTTTGATGAACCGAATGAGAAAACCCAGCTCTTTGGAGCGTAGAGGGAGTTCACAGCAGAAACATCTTCAAAGTTTAAAATGTCACAAAAAGATGGACCTTCACAAGACTGAGCTGGAACCATGATATCGTTACACGTTTTTACACAACTGCAGATCATTTTTAGAAAATAGTCTGCTGCTAAAAAAACCCACAGGTGAGCAATACTGTCCCTGTCTGTATCTTTGTCTGTTAGCACAATATCTCATGAACCAGTAGACCAATTTATATTCAAACAATCAGAAAATTATTACTGAACTGGATCTACAACTGGGAGGCACAGTGGAACAGTTGGTAGAGCTGCTGCTTCTCAGCGAGAAGGTCGCCAGTTCAAACCCCGGCTGGGTGACTTTCTGGGTGGAGTTTGCATGTTCTCTCCGTGCATGTGTGGGTTTTCTCCGGGTACTCCGGTTTCTTCCCACAGACCAAAAACATGCATGTTAGATTGATTGGTAACTCTAAATTGTCTCTAGGTGTGTGACAGAGAGTGAATGGTTGTTTGTCTTGTTTGTCTCTATGTGTCCCTGTGATGGATTTGTCTCTATGTGTCCCTG